ATTTTCACGATACACAATATGTCATGATATTTTTTTCCAGGCATCTGATCAGTTGGATCAGAGAAAAAAAGAACCACTAGTGCTACATTTTAAAAAATACTACTAAAAACTGTGAACACAAGCATTTTTATTTTAATATTTCACATACTGTTACACCAAATCCAGTTAAATGGGACTAATTCTGCTCTCGTTATAATGAAACATGCAGTTGGTCAGTGTTCTGCGAGTACTGATGATATCCACGTATGTTTAGAAATGCATACTGTATTGTGACGTAATTTATCACAATAATAACATATATGTCATATTGTTCAGCCTTATCAGAAGCTGCACTACTTATTCTTGGACCCATGCTGGTTAATCTGAAGCACAGAATAACACAGTAGGGTATATGATTTAAAGGAAAGATTTCTAGAAGATTTACAAATATTATACTATATTCCAAAACTACATCATACACTATATTCTAGAAGTGTAATGATTCACAAAATTAATTCAAATTCATATGTTTATGTAGTCATTTTTAGTTTATTAGAGCACTGAAAAACATTATAAAAGTACAACAGAAGGGTTTTATTCCAAAACACATTATAGACCACATCCAAGAATTTTCTTTTTTATGATATACATTGTTGAGACTGGGCTTTATGCATACAAGAAATATCTATGCCACATTATGATTAATAACACCTTTATTAGAGAATTAAAGATGCACCTTTCATTATATGTCAGCTGTTCTTTTCAAAAACTCACTATATCAAATATTGTCACAACTGGATATATAGCATTTGGAATTAGGCACAAATACAATGATACAATATAATATGCTATGATACAGTATGATATGTTGTACTGGTAACCTTAGAGGTGGGGCAATGTGATTATATTTTATCGCCATCATGATCAACTTTGTTACTGTGATAAATAATATGCGACCCTTAGCATATTATGGATATTGCCAGAATGTAAAGAACACTGACCAGACAGCAGAATTAGGCCCAATCCCATTTCACCCCTTGCCCCAACCATTTAGCCCATAGCCCTCCGTTTTGCGTGTTCACACTTGTTTTTGTTAAGATAGTGAAGTAGGACAAAGTGTTAGGGCTACATGGCCCTCCAAATGGAGGTTTTTCAGAGGCATACTCCAAACAGAGTTATGAGAAAAAAGAAAAAACAGCAAGATGGCTGCGCAACTGACCAAAGAAACCCATAAATGTAAGTATTTCTCTTTTGATATTATGATAACCATTGTATTGTCTTAGTTTAATGCAGTTTTCATGCATTATGCTCCTTTTCTTCATCACAAGCATAAAAAATCACCAGTAGTATGCTGATGTCTTGGTAGTTAGCAAATTAAATTTCCTGTGCCACTTTAAACAGCAGTAAATAAATTAATTAACCATTTAAGGTGGAACAGGAAAATTCGCATAAGAATAAGCTGGCGAATAGCTGATTTCTGCTTCATATCACCGAAGAGTTAGGGGTGGCCGATAATAAATAATTGTCTCATCCACCCCTCATTAAATTTAACTAAAGACCAACTCTGCTATCACTGCAGACTGGCAGCGTTGCCTGTAGAGCACCACTAGTAGCCTGTTAATGAAGTAATACTCTTTTTATTTGAGAGTTGTTCAATTTCGTAGGGGAAGATTTCTACCCTATGTAACATTCAAAAACAAGGGTTAGAGGTAAAAATAAGGAATGGGACCGGGCCTTATCCACCTTCAATTTGATTTAAAGCCACAGTGTGAAATGTTGAAATGTGAAATGTCTAAATTTCATGCTACATTGTGTCTATCAAGTACCGTGATAATATTTTTTAATATCTCCCACCCCTAGTTTAACCACTATTATATTCTAATACTAACTTTACACCTATTAGACTTCTTCATGTTGGTAAACTAAAACCTTCTTCAAACCAGGCACATCACTTCAAGTTTATTATGCATCTAATCATGAATACTGCATGCAAATTATAACATGTGCCTGTGTATTATTACTTTTTGGCCTCTTAACATGTAGAATCAGTATAGCAGTGCCCTGATTGCAGACTTACTATAGTCAGTGAGTGAAGAAAATAAACTAGCCACTCAGCAACCAAAATCGTAATACAAAAGACCTTTACTTAAGCATTTTTTAATGGACAGTTATTTCTTGAATAAAAGTCATTTCTTGTATTTATTTTATTATTATTATTGTTATTATTATTTTTAATCACTGTCCCTCACTTGTTTCCCTTCTCAACTCTGTCCTTGGTGCTTAAGTATGCATTGCCTTGCTGGCCTTCTCCATGGTGCTGACAGGCCTCTCTTGTGATTGCTGTAATCTCAAGTCTTTCCTAATCATGAGCTGAACCTGACTGACAAACATGTGCGAGCGGCTGGACAGAATATCGACCGACCTGGGATCTGCACAAGCAGAAACTACGTCATAGAGCAAGTAAATAGACATGATTAAGTGCTTGTGATTAACGACGCTGCTCATGTCAAGACAGGCGAGTCCAGCAAATAAAGACTTTGGAGACCAAGGAGGAAAACCTTCGTGAAAACACTGGGGGGTGTGGTAGGGCTTTATCCGCATACTACCTCCCACCACCCACACCATGCTATTGAAATGACTCATGTTTTGTCTAGTAGACTAGACAAACAGAATAACAAGGTTAGTGAGGGTCTATGCCTTTTTTGGCTTCCTTCTGAATTCCCATACACCTCTGCCCCCCAGCGTTAGACCCACGAGCTCTAGAAGGAGGAGCTTGTCCGGCCACACGCGCCACAGCACCCCTGCGACCGGGAGCTGCCAGCCACTATTGATATTCAACACACGCCTCCTCTAGCTTCCACACTCACCGGCACGGTTTGCCCTCCAAGCAAAACGCTTCTGTGTCAGGTCTACCCGCCTTCGACAGAGAGTCCATGAAAAACGCCTGCTTATTACGCACATGCGGTGAATTACTTCAACACTATCGGGCAAGTGCCCTGCACCGCAGGGAAGGGGTGAAGCATGCTAGAGCCAAAGATTCAATATAAAAAGACTGCTGTAAAAATGCAACAGTTCATACTTGATTAAAGTAGCCTAGTAGTAGTTCATAGTTGTAACTTCTAAATAAAAAACAAACATGCATTAATTTACTGTTGTTTATGCTGTGTCTTACTGCAGGGTTATAGCTATATATACCATGATAAAACAAAAAAAAACTGTTATTAAAACTATTACAGGCCTAACTACACAACAAAAGCCCCAGCACTGAATGAACACATGCGTACATGTAAGACCACCTACACTAAACAAACAAATGCCACCAGGCAAAAAGAAAGTACTGTACAGGCAGATTTTTGGCTCCCAAAAGTACAAACAATATTAATGTACACTTAAAGGTACAACAGGGTCTTTAAGGTTCAATTCAAGGTCCAAACTACATTCTTCTTTGCAGGGCAAAGGTACATATATATACTTTTTAATGACAATAATTTTAAATAGAAAAATAAAGTAAAATACAGAGCTTGGAATCAGGGCATGGTGTATGGAGTCAATTAGGGGTGGGCAATATGATGATATTTTATTGTTATCATGATAAATTACATCACAATACACTTTCTTGAGTGTAACGTTGATATCGTCAGTACTTAAAGAACACAGACTGACTACATTTCATTACAAAGTGAGCATAATTAAGCCTGTTTAATTAGATTTAGTGCACTTTGTAAAACAGTGAAATCACTGTAGTTGTAGATCTATTATTATTATGATTATGACAGTACATTTCATATTTGGGACTACAGGTTCTATTTGTCTGTTCCGACTTCATCTCAGAAAAACTAAATATTTTGATGCACATCACGTATCGTGACAATGACTTGAATTATCAAAATATATTTTTGCCAATACACCCACCCCTACAGTCAAACTGCAACAGCAAAAAAACTGCAACAGAATATGGTACAATTATGCTCATTAACTGAAGGTATTGATAACGCGAAGGTACTGATAACGAGTTTTTCTGAGTGTCAGGCGTTCATTATTTCAACACCTAGATTCAACACCATAAGTGTTATTTCAAAAATAAGGCTTACTGCAGCACTGCAAGTCTTCATTTAACATTGTATGTGTTCAATAATTTATACAACTAACAGTTAAATCATCAATGAAGATGTTGATTTTTTACTTGGTAGATGTTAATTCTACTCTGTAGGTATCAATTCTTCACTATAGGTGTTAATTTTGCACTGTTACTTCTACTTGGTAGGTGTTAAATCTAAAACGCTTGTGTTAATTCTACTCTATAGGTGTTAAGTCTACACTGTGCTAATGCTACACTGTGTTAATTCTACTCTATAGGTGTTAAGTCTACACTGTGCTAATGCTACACTGTGTTAATTCTACTCTATAGGTGTTAAGTCTACACTGTGCTAATGCTACACTGTGTTAATTCTACTCTATAGGTGTTCAGTCTACACTGTGTTAATGTTACACTGTTAATTCTACTCTACAAATTCTAAGTCTACACCACGTTTGGTCTGCTCTGTAGGTGGTAATTCTACAGTGTTTGTGTTAATTCTGCTCTGCAATTGTTGACTCCACACTGTATTCAACTTTTTAGTTGCCACTTCTACACTGTTTCTTCTATTCGGCAGGTTTTAATTCTACCCTGTTTGTATTAATTCTACTCTGTAGGTGTTACTTGTACACCGCTTTAATTGTATTCTGTAGGTGTTAAGCATACACGGTTAATTCAACACTACAGACGCAAATTCAGCCCTGCAGGCCTTCAATCTGCACCGCAGCACCACTGCAGGTATTAAATCTACACTCTAGCTGTTTATTCAACAGTAAAAGTTCATTCCACACTGTTAGTTGTTAATTCATTACCACAGATGTTGAATCTGCTCCGCTGTTAACTCTACACTGTATACACCTGTATGCGTTAACTGATCAGCGCTGAGGATTTGGCTTTGACAGTTTTCCTTCCAGCCCAGCTGACCAACGGACGTCCGTTCACTCACCATCAGCTCTGCGAAGTCGCGCTCCAGCTTCAGTGCAGTGGTGTGTGCGCTCTCTCGCAGTCCGTCAGCAGGAGGCCGCGCGGCACGTGGTCGGAGAGCTGTCCGGCTCGCGAGCGGCGACAGGAGGCAGCGCGCGCTGCACCCGCCGCCGCGTCCATCTGCGCGCGCGCGCGCGACCAGAAGGAGAGAGCAGAGAGAGTCCGTTCAGGTGAAGCGCTCGAGCCAATGGATGATCAATGAAGAAACACGGAGCGCGCCAACAGTGTGCTCACAGGCTGCGGAGTCACGCGCTGGGCGTGACGTGCGTCTGAGATTTTGGGGAACGCCAGTGCCAATTTAAACCGAGAGCAGGTACGTGAGGAAGGAAGGAAAGAAAAAAAAGACAGAGGTGACGTCCTGATGACGACAAGAAGCTAAAAATCGTTGGATTAAAAAAAGAAAGAACCGGCGTTGAAAAATGAAAAAAGACTAGAAACCAATTTGCAGCCTCTTCCACTATCAGGGGTTAGTCACAGTGGCGTGTATGAGTAATCCAAGCCAACACCCCAAAGCTCAGTCTACACAACCACATGCACAGGCTGCTGCTGCAAAGTGCTTCTTAATTAACTCTTTAACGCAGAGCCTCTTCACATGGTGAATATTAGCAGCGAAATGCCAGCAGAGCCTCGAAACGTAGCCTAGCTGCTCCCTCTGAACACTCTTACCTAACTGAACCAAAGCAACTGGTGTGGAAAGGCGCCTCTACGTTCCATCATCTGAGAGACTGGACGGGAATGAGGGGGAGAAAAATCGCTCCATCCCTGTGAAAGACGAACAGCGAGGCTCGTGTGGAAGGCTCAGTGCTGTGTGTGAGAACCAGGCCTTTTGGTAGACAAACTAAACGAGTACCAAGTTTTTTAAAAATCTTCCTAAAATTGAGCGCCGAATTCCTGCTGGGTTGTGCTGTTCCCCCCCTCAACAACGCGATTGATAAGTTTCCACTTGAGCGTGGGCGATACCAAAAAATGGAGGGGGGGGGTGGAGCTGAGGGGTCCCTGCTACAGAGGTGGAAATGGTTTTTACCGCGAGCGCTGGAGGGCATATCATCGCTGCAGCACTGATTTAAAGAGACAAGCTACCAGGTTTTAGCCTTCACATACGGCTCAGTCGAGGGAATCTCATCAGAACAGAGGGGTTTCTCCCCGTTACTGCTGCTGTGGAAAAGCTACGGCGGAAATGTACGCCTTCATAGCCTTATACCGTGATTCACTGCTCAGTGGGCGTGTGTGGGTGTGGGGGAGAGAGAGAGAGAGAGAGAGACAGAAAGAGAGGGATTCTTAACATACTGGGTTAAATGTCTATTAACACATAAAAACATCCCACATGCTGCTGTAAATCATTTGTAGGCTACCATACCAGTCACAGAGACAGAATTCATAGCCCACATGGTTTTACTTATAGCCATGCTCACACTGTAGGTGATATCCTTTAATTATCCAATGTAGAGATTAAATATTTAGCTAAAAACCATTAGGCTACTCCACTTCTTCAGTAAGCCGTGCTGCTCCCCATAGAATGAAGGAGACTGAATCATCAGGCCTGGAAAATAGCATGCATTATTGCCCACCTCCTGATCTATTAACTCACATTATATGTCTAAAGGTGTCCAGATAATTCATGAGCAGCTACTTTAAGGTGCACCAAATGCTAACACAGTTGTTCAGTTCTGTGTGTAAGCGTGTATAATCTCCATAGGAAAGCATTGCTAATGGAATTGGGCCACACATAAGCCTAAGATCAACATACATAACGCCAAACATCACCTAGAGTGTTATAAAGCCCCACAGATTTGGGCTGTGAAGTAGTGGAGCTTCATTCTCTTAAGTGATGGAGCTCCATTCAATATCTTTGAAACGAGTTGGTGTGACTTTTGTGATCCTAATCATCCAACAACAGTATCTGACCTTATTAATGCTCTTTGGCTGAGTGCAATCAAATCCTTACAGCAATATTCCAACATCTAGTGTGAACCCTTAACCAGAAGTGTTGAAGCTGGTACTGCTGCAAAGCAAATTACTTTTTCTAAATTTCTTCATAATTAAATCATTAAGACGTAAAAACAAAGTCATTCAGAGTGGCCTGATGTGAAATACTTTGCTTAAGAGACACAGAGTCAGAATTGTTCACAGCGGAGGTGGTACCCTCTTTTAAAAGATGGTTCTTCAAGGGTTCCTTAGTAAAGACAATGATTCCATATAGAACCATGAACATTTAAAGAACCATTTGCATGTTTAAAGGGTTCTTAGCATGATGAAGTGGTTCTTCAGATTGATGGAGAATGTATTGTGTGTGAAAATGATTCTGTACAGCACCAAAAAGTGTTCTTCTATTGTTACAAGCTTGACATTGTAACAGTAGCAGAACCCTTTTTGGTGCTACATAGAACCCTTTTCAAAACGGGTCTATAAAAAACCATAAACAACGCATTCTCCATCAGTCTGAAGAACACTTTCATCATGCAAAGAACCATTTGAGCATGCAGATGGTTTTTGAGTGTTCATGGTTCTGTATAGAACCATTGTGTTTACTAAAGCATCCTTGAAGAACCATCTTTTTAAGAGTGTAGGAACCAAATTTCTGAAGAGTTTAATGCGTTTAAAAGGTACCTCACAAAAGTGCTTTTGATGCCTGTCGTTCATTTATGATAGTTTTGAGATCAGGTTTACAAACATGATTTTATTTAAATCTCAGTGAATTAATTATGCTGAAATTTTGGAAAATCAGTGGAATTCCCCTTTAATACCCTTGACTTTAGAGGAAATTTTACACAAACAGGTGTCTACAAACTTTTGGACATGTAGTGTATCTAAATTATTCATGTTTAGGGATATGTATGAGGGATTCTTTTTCAAATAGCCTCCCACCTCTTTCATATCTGCCCTTCTGCATATGAAAGCATATCTATTGGGTCCTAGCCCCTCTCTCCTCTGTGGGAGGTTTGAGTCCTGGAAAGTTTTGTGCTGTAGTTTTTGTTGCGTGATTAAAGCCCTGGCGCCTAATGACTTACCTGTCTTATCAGCTGTAGAACAGCTGCAGATTTAATTCAACACATTTGCTTTTTTTTCAGGGGCCCTTCTATTGTGTTTTTTCCTTTCCTTCAGACTCATTATATTCAGTTACAGTACAATGCTGTTCAATATGGTTATATTAGCATGCTAATTGAAATTTTAAAATGCGATTGCCCTGGAGAATGCTGAAAGGTCCCTGATCCGGCCGTCGTTGTGTTAAAAGCATAACTAGTCAAGCGTAATTAAACCCTGCAACTTGGTTTCCATGCCAACTGGCCTGCCTCCCCCCCTTGACTGTTTCAATTTGAGCTTAGATGAGAAGATTCCTCCCAGGAAAATTAAATGAAAGTGGATTTCATTACATTAGATAAAGATGAAATAAACTGACCACCATGTTTCTAGGGGCACATCAGGGCAAAATGCTTACTTGTGGCAAAAAGCATACTCTTTGGATGCATGCCAGGCAATAGTAATACAATTCAGGCACATGTTTGAGTGAAAGTCCACGGCAAGAACACAGAGCAAAGAGTTAGGCAGTCAATACACCCTTCTAAGAAAGTGAACAAAGGCATGAAATGAGATCGGTTGACCAATTTGGTTGTGCAGGTGGCTAATCGATGGATAGAAGTATCTAGGCAGTCCTTCTAATTACTAAATTCAGAATTTTTTAAGGTGCACCCATTACTAACAGAAGTGTTCAGAAGTGCACACAGAGCTTGTGTAATCTCAATGGAAAAGCATTGACAAATAGAAAGGGGTGTCCTGGAGTAGGTATACATGCCCAATGCCAAGTGTCAGCAAGAGGGGTGTAAAGCTCTGCAACATCAGACTATTGAGCAGTGGAACTATATTCTATGGAGTGATGGAGCACCATCGCTATTTGGAATGTGTTGGAGTCGTGTTTGTAATCCTAATCGTCCATCATCAGTAGCTGACTTCACAAATGCTCCTCTGGCTAAATGCAATCAAATCCTCACAGCCATGTTCCAACATCTAGTGTAAAGTCTTCCTAGAAGAGTAGAGGCTATTGCTGCAGCAAAGCTATTGCTGTAACAAGGGGGATAAACACCCCATGAACACTACTGATTTCAGAAGAAACTTTTAATGAGCAGATGTCAACAAACTTGTGGTCAATGAGGGCATTTTAAGGATATAACATATATTCATCTAGATGTAAATGCCCTTGAATTAAAGTTGAAGTCCTTAAACTTCAACTCCAAATGCAGAAATTTCCTTGCAGACGAACAACAAAGGCTTATACAATATATACGTTTACCATACACAGCAAATCCTGGGCTGGCTATGGTGCTGTTTCAGCTTTTTCCAGATTAGGGCTTTAAATAGTTACCTGTCTGGGGACAGTGCAGACACAAATAAAAAGCAAATAAGAAGTTAATTTATCAAAATGTCGCAATAATGACTTGAACGCAGTAGCTCTGGATAAACATCAAAATGTGGCACTGAGACAGAATTATGATTGAAAATAGCAGACATTTAGCGCTAAAAAAGATTCCAGTTCACATTTTCTTGTACTGTGCATAACAACTTTGTTGAAAAATTGTACAGTGGTATTGCCTCTCGGGCTATGAGCTACATTATTCACTTTTAGATTGCAGTCTTGAACAATATACTTGGCCAGTGTACATATCCTCATGAATAAATTTATTATGTAAGTAACTTACAGTAAATGGCTTAACAGGGCATAAAAGGATCCTAAGTGGTCTTTGTCAGAACCCTAGAAAAGCAGAAAACAGTAAGAATCTGATGATTGCTGTGTTGCGCAGCTCAAAAGGTATCCAGCCCACGATCCAATCTAAGCTAAATAAAAGGTACATTTCTTTCTGGAACAGAAAGAGGTTGGGGCTTGCAAATGCCCTTCTAATGGCACATGAAACAGAGTGAGGCTCCATCATTATTCAGAAATGACAAAGCAGAGCAGCTCTATGGCTCAATTTGATAATGTCACATAATGTGGTATGTGAGCTCTAAAAAGGCTGATG